GGGCCCTTTCTCTAGCCTTAAAGGGTTGTCCTAAGGGAACTGCTTCCAGAAGGGTGTGGAGCCTGGCTTCCTCCTGATAGAGGGAGCCCCTGCCAGCCTAGTTGTGACAGAGGACAGTACACACTAGCTATGCAAACACCAAGCTACCTGTGCTCAGGCCTCGCCCTTCTGATCATTGATTCTCCTGGCCCCAGAAGTGGTGGTGACAGTCAGGGGCTCTGAGCAATACTGGTGGAGGGGGATGGACATTGGAAAGGCAGAGTCATCATGCAGAGGAATTCAGCAGGTCCCCCCAGACCATCCCCCCTCCAACGGTGCTAACTCAGCTCCTGCTCCTGCCAGGTGAGAGGCTGACTGAGGATGAGGTGGAGAAACTGATGGCAGGGCAAGAGGACTCCAATGGGTGCATCAATTACGAAGGTGGGCTTGGCAAGGGCGGGGGCTTCTGGGAGGAATCACTGGGACCAGGCCCAGCCTTGGCAGCTCACACTCCTCTTCTTTCTAGCATTTGTGAAGCACATCATGGCCAGCTGAGCCCCCACCAGGTGAGCCTCCACCCAGCTGAGCCCCCATTCCTTTCCTTACCTGCTGCTGCCACCACCCCACCTACATCCCTCCAGTCTACAGCTGACATCCTGCTGCCTCCATCTCTCTCCTCCTCTGTAACCCGTGGCTGCCTTTGCTCTCAGGGAGCCCAGGGGACGGTGTGCCGGGACATTTCTCCTATGTGTGATGCTGACACCACTGGCCTGGAGTTGTGGGAAGGAGGGGAGCATTTGAAGACTTCTGTGCAAGTCCTCAGACCTCTCTGCATAGTTGTCATCTGTCACCTCATTGGTGGCCTGTGACTGCATCTCTGTCCTCACCCTATGGGCCTCATGAATAAATGGCTTCCTTCCTTCTTTCTTTCCTCCCTCCTTCCTCCTTCCTTCCTCTTTCCTTCCTTTCTTTTTTCCTCCCTTCCTCTCCCCTCCCTTCCTGCTATCCCTCCAAACATCTTTTCTCTCTATGGCCTCTCTTTGGCCAACCTCTGTGAATCATTTTGTGTGTAGACATGGTGCTGGAGTGGAGATAAGCTGGAGCATGGACTACTCCTTTTCTCATGTCTCCCCCGTCCCTTGCCTTCTGTGCATGGCAGCCATGTTATGTCTTCAATGGGAGGACAGCTCTAGGAGCCTAAGAGCACTGTCTGAGCTTCTCATTCCATATCCAGTAACCAGGGTACCACACGACATTGACCCAGAGAGGCCCAGCACAGGGAATGGCCTTGTTTGAGTCTCTCTGGGATGTTAGAGATGAAGGGGCCTTCACTCTTACCCTGACTTAGGTGGGGAAACCAAGGCAGAGGCCTTGCTGGGGCATCAGTGGGCTTCTCAGCAGAAGATGGTGTGGTATCCCTGCTGTGGTGAAAGGAGATACACACACAATCTGCAAGTCTCTGCCCCACTCCTGCACACTGCTCTGGGGCTCCTCTTGGGGGGCCTTAGAGGACAGCAGAGATAGTAAGGGGTGGCTTCCTCAGAGGAGGATCCCCAGAAGCTTGAGTGGGAGGAAGAGCAAAGCCCTGCAAAGGGGTTAGGGTCCAGTGTGAGGAGGTCAGGGCTGCTGTGGAATGGACCTGCAGGGTAGGAAGCAGCCTGCAGGCAGGAGCTCCAGGAGGCCAGTGTGGCTCCAGCAGGTGCATTCCCATGGCAGCAGGGGATGTCTGCTTGTGAGGGCACGTGGGTGTGTGATTGGGAGTTCCAGGTCCTGAGTGGGTCAGGTTGCTTGAGGTGGTATGTGGGGTGGGGAGTCTTGAGTGTGTGAGCAAGTGCATCACGATTGCTTGTGGGAGAGTGTGTGTGTGGATGGGGGTGCAGCAGCAGGTGGGAGAGAGTGAGGGGTGTGAGTGTGCCATGGAGCCTGCTGTATCCTCCTTTCATTCTTTCAGCATTAATTGAGCACCAACTGTGGGCCAGGCTCTGTTCTAGGTGCAGTGGAGAAAGCAGGAGAAACCTCTGCCCTTGCAGAGCTCAGGCAATGCAGACAGATCCTGACAATAGAGAATCAAATAGGGATGAAGCTGAGGGGGAATTGGAAGCAGGAAGGGCTGTGGAGTGTGTGGGTGTCTGTGTGCGTGAGTTGGAAGGTGGTTGGCATGTTAAATAATGAGGTAAGGAATTATCTGAGAAGGTCATACTTGGGCAAAGATATAAAGGAGAGTGGATAATATTTAGAATACATAAGGAGCTCCTATAACTCAGCCAACCTCCCACAAAACCTAATTAAAAAATGCACAAAGGACTTGAATACACATTTCTCTAAAGAAGGTATACAAATAGCCAGTAAGCACAGAAAAGACACTCACCATCACACATTACTAGAGAAATGCAAATGCTAGCAATGAGATACCACTTCACGCTCAAGAGGATGGTGATGATAAAACAACACAACAGAAAGTGACACGTGTTGGTGACGAAGTGGAGAAACTGGAAACTTGTGCACTGTTGGTGGGAAAGTGAAATGGTGCAGGCACTGTGGAAAATCACTCTGGCAGTTTCTCAAAAAATTAAAAATAGAATGACCATATGACCCAGAGATTCTACATCTGGGCATATACCCAAAAGAACTGAAAGTAGGGTATTGAACAGGTATGTGTACACCTGTATTCATTAGCAGCATTATTCACAACAGCCAAAAGGTGGAGGCAACTCATCTGCCCATCAACAGATGAATGGATAGGCAAAATATGGTGTCTACAAACAGTGGAATATTACTCAGCCTTAAAAAGGAGGAAGATTCTGACACCTGCTACAACGTGGGTGAATCTTAAGGACAGTAGGCTAAGTGAGATAAGCCAGTCATAAAAAGACAAATACTGTGTGAGTTCACTTCTACAAGGCTCCTAGAGTAGTTAGACTCATAGAGACAGAAAGTAGAATGGTGGAGGCAGTGGAGAGGGGCAGTTATTGCTAAGGAGAAAAAAAGGAGAGGACAGATGGAGTGTTTTAGGTTGGGCGCTCACCGAAGCAGACCCTGAGACGAGCACCTGAGTACTCTGAGTACAAGGACTACCTGCAAGTTGTCTCCCTGGGTGGTGAGTGGGGAAGGAGGCTAGGAGAGAATGACAAGTCGTGAGAAGTGCAGGAGGAGAGGATGGCACTGTGGTGGATGTGGGCTGAGCCCTGCTGGGAGCCTTGGGGAGATGGTGGTGTTGCCTCACCAAAGGCTGAGGAAATAAGACTGTCCACCTGCTGGTGGGGCAGGGCCTGGAGGCATGCTGGGACATTTCCGTGGGGGCACTTCAGCATCTGCTTCAGAGAGCCATGTGTATCTGAAGGAAAATGTCCTGGGAGCGGGCACAAAGGCCCTGCCATGGGAGCCGAGAGTATGATGGAAGGTGATAGGTGCTGAGTCAGAGAGGTGATGGAGGGCCCAGGGTTGGGAAGGGTCTTGATGATGTTTTATCAGCACTGCTCTGGCTTGTGTGTGGAGATAGACTTCAGGGGGCATGGGCAGAAGCAGGAAGGCCAGTTAAGAGGGTCCAGGAGAGAGAAGGAGAGGCACACTTGGCCAGGGGGCTGGCAGGAGGGATAGTCTCAAGCAGTCAGATTCCAAGGCAGTTCTGAAAGCATCCTCAATAACACCTTGGGTAGATTTTGAGGCTTTCTGCTTCCTTTCCTTACTTAATCTCAGTCCACTCTAGCCCCCGATCTGGTTCAGGGAAGGGGACCATGATCTGCCTTTTCATGGTTTATCATCGAAGTGATCAGAGGCGCACAGTCTGTGAGTGGATGAGACAGAGACATGGGTGTCCTGGGCCTTACTATGGTGGCCTCAGACAAGGAGGACATCTTTGTGTGCTGGCCTCTGGCCAGCTTTCTTGGGAAACTAGTGGCTGAGGAGCCTCCAAGAGAGCAGGCCCCAATTGGGCTTTACCCCAGACTCCTGAGCAGGGGGACTCTGGACACCAAGCCCTGAAATTGCTGAGCTCCTTTTCATAAGTCTGCATGGGACTGGGTGATGCCCAACTTGAGCTGAAGTCCTGAGCAGGGATTGCACCTGTACTCAGTCATCTCCTGAAAAGGAGTGGCCCTGCCTCCGTGTTCACCTGTGTCTCAATCCCCAGGCATACGTATCCCACTCTCTCAAGAATGTCTGCCCCCTCCTCTGGTTTCTAGGGCTCTTGTTATACTCCTAGCCCTCCCTCAAACTTATCCTCATTCTTGCAGGCTCCCTAGTTCCTGGGAGCTACCACCCCACTCTGTGGCTTGGTGGTGGAAGAAAGCACCCCACAATCCCCTCTTGACACTGCAGCCCTCACCCTGCCAATCTTCTTGTGTGGACTAGGAGGCGACAGGTTGGGGGTGGCTGGTGATGGCAGGGCTGGAGTTATCATGTCTGATGAACCCTGGCTGGAGCACTTTGATGCACTCAGCTCCATTTGGCCATGTTGCCATTCTAGGGCCATTTACCCATTATATGTGACTCTACTGACTGCATGTTCCTGGGCTTGAGTATCAGAGTGAATGAGTAGAGGCACCTAGAAGGTGCAACTCAGAGTCCCACCCTGCACACACAGGATGTGTGTGTATTCCTGTGTGTTGCTATGTGCCTATACAGCTGTGTCTGAGCGAGTACATGCTTGTGCTTGTGTGTGTGTTGTGTTTGTGTCCATGTCTGTGAGTGTGCAGGTGCCCACATGTATATACCTGTGTATGCATGTGCCCATTTGTCTGTGCGCACATATGTGTGTGTTTACCTCTGTGTATGCTGGTGTCTGTTTGCTTGTGTGTCTGAGTGTGTCCGTGCTGGGGGTCTCTGCTGAATCAGCACTGCCTCTGGGCAGGCAGCACTGCCAGCCAGGCTGTGGCCTCCCCACAGTTGCATAAACACTGGTCCCAGCTCCCCCTTCCAGCAGGGTGGTCCGGCCTGTGGCCCTGTGGCCGGTGGAAAGGGATGGGAGGGGGAAAGGGGCTTCTGACAGTTTGGTTCCCTCCATGTCTAAAGTGTCAGATCATGTGTCCCATCAGGATGGGGTCTGTTCTGGGGTCTTTACATGCCCTTCTTCCCTCATTTGGTCTGAGGTCTGATCTCTGAGGTCTCTCAAAGGTGGCAGGAATAGCCACCTCTTAGTCCTGCTCCAGGCTGAATCAGAGGGTCAGGGTGTAGTTTAAGTACAGAGTTCAGCCTCAGGACCCTAGGCCAAGTCAGGCAGTCCCCTTGAAACTGCAGAATCTAAATCAGAAGGTCCTATGGTATTGAAGGGACTTCCAACAGGCCCTTTGAACTCACTGCTTTAGGACAGAGTTTTGGGATCTGGAACTCTGGAACTTGAGCCCAAAGGACAGAGAATTATGGGAGCTGGGCCTGTGATGGGCCCAGAACAAACTGTCCCTCCACTGCTCTGATGTCCCTGTGTGGCCGCCCATGACTCTTGGCAGCCTGCCCCACCCTGCATCCTTTCTTCCAGATACTATCCCCAGGGATCCTGGGGTCACCACTGGGACATGAATTAGATGGCATGGAGTAGAGTGCCAGGAAGGCCCGAAGTTCATGCCAAGGTAGAATGAAGTCAGGCAGAGTCTTGAAGAAGTTGGGCATTGGGCAAAAATTCTTCCAGGCCACAAGAAGGAAAGAAATCAGACGTAGACATGAAAAATTGGACTGTAGGGCTCTAAGCACTCAGCAGCAGAGGGGCTGACAGAAAGCTGATGAAGGCCTTAAGAGACATCAGAGGGTGAAGTAAAAGGGTCCAGACAAAGCGATGTGTGAAACTGGGGGATAGGGATCCAAAGAAATTGGGCAGCAGTGTGACAGGCCAGCCCTTGTGTTGCATAAGGGGATGTTTGGGGTGCCACGCTGCAGTGCTCTGCGGTTGGTCCTG